TTCCACGCCAGGGAGCACAAGGCCCTCTAGTCAGGTCTGCAAAGAACTAGAAGAGACTTCCAGAAAATTGGAAAATGTGAGAAAAGCAATTATGAGAGTGATGGGCATGGCCTACCAATGCTGAGAGAGGGGGGACCTATGGCTGTCTCTCCCAGGCCTCGGCTCCATCTCCTTCACTGTATCTGTGTCTCAGAGTTCTCAGGTCTGTCTCCTTCAGCTAAGTATCTCTCCCAGGCCACACGTCTTTCTTCAGATGGGACCGTCTCTTCTAGGCTTCAAGCCTGTCTTCTTCACAGCGTGCTTTCTGGCCACTGAGTTTTGCAAAGAGACTCACCAACCACCAGCTTCAGAACCACCTGAGAGACTTATTTAAAATGCAGGTTCCTGGGTCCCACCCTTGTTTACTCCAGTCTCACAGCGGAGGTTTAGCACGGACCTTTCTGGCCAATCCCTGAGTCATTCCTTCACTACAGTTTGCGGATCACTTCCCTACAGTGGTGGACAGCCCCTTACCTTCAAAGTGTAAAAAGGATGAGTTATTTCGCATGTCAGTTCTTGGTTTCCAAAGTTGTGTTCTATATGAGGAACCCTAAATACATCCACGGCAACAGGTGGCGAAGCAGGTGAGGAGGGCGGGAGGGAGCCAGGGAGGTGAGGAGGAGAGAGCCTGAGCATCCGAGAGTCTCTGGGAGGCACTCATCCAGCACCCCCACCCCCATGCCCAGGCCCCTGTGGTGCTCCTCACTGCCACTGTTGGCTCTGGTTCACAGGGGTGCCCGGACTTTAAGTCTTTAGGCTTGGTGTGTGGCCACCCCAGGGAGGCGGGAGGATCCTTCTGTTAATTCCATATCTGGGGAGAGCAGAGCTCTGTGCTGGAGTGTGAGGGCTCACGGAGGAAGGTCAAAGCCCCGTCAGTCTAGCTCCATCGCTGCGCCATCCCTTTCCCACTGCTGAGATGGGGAGGGGTGTGAGGTCCTTCAACAAGGCAAGCAAGGGTGCTACCGGACTTGAGTCTGAGGGATCCCAGCATGATCCCCTTCTCCACAGATGGCTGCCCTTGCCCTTCCCTGCCCTTCTCTCAATCCTCTTGGAAGTCCTGGTGCTGAACCAACCCAGAGCCGTCAGGCTGAATTCACCTCAAGGTGCAGCTTATAAAACTGGGAACAATGGCCCCTGGAGGGTTCCAAGGTTGGTAATCTTCATAGAAGCAGACTGCCTCATCTTTCTCCCATAGAGCAGCTGCTGGGTTCAAACTACCAACCTTGTGGTTAGCAGCTGGGAGAGCTTTTCTTGCTCAGCATGTAACACAAGCACCAACAGAAAACAGGGAGTGCAGGGTGCACCAGACCCCTGCTGAATTGCTGGCTGTTTGACCGGAGTCTACAAGGCATTGCTAGTCTGAGCTGTCTGAGGTGGATTTCCAATGAAGAGCCTGTCTCCAGTTCAACCCCCTGACCTGAGTTTACAAGGCAAGGTGCCCGGGTTCCCTAGTTCCCTTCCTTCTGGCCTCAGACTGCCCACTGGTCTTTTCTCACCATGGCATCTCCCAACATGCCTGAAAGATTCACGCCCACTCCTTCTTCCTACAAGTTTAACAAGGGGTGGAGTTAACACGACCCTGGGGTGTGTTCCTGTCTGTGAAGGGAGAAATAAAAAATATGTTTGAGTCTCTCAGGTGGACGGGCCAAAGAAAATACAGTGGAACACTGGTCAAAAGGTATCACTGCGCAGAATCCCAAAATAAAACTGCTTGTGGGGAGTTCCTAAACCAAACACAAACTCCGATGCTGCCAACCCAATTCTGATTGAGAGCCCCCTAGAGGACAGAGTAGAACTGCCCCATCAGGTCTTCAAGGTTGTATCTTCCCGGAAGCGGACTGGCACCATCATCTTCCCATGGACACAGAGTGGCTGGTAGGTTTGAATCACTACTACCACCCAGGACATTTGTCAGTGTCTGAGGCCAAGTGTGTCTGGCTCTCAACCCAGCCAGCTGTTCCTCAGGAGAAACATGAGACTTACCACCCCCATGAAGAGCTACACAGTCTCAGAAATCCAAAGGGGCAGGTCCACCCGTCCCATAGGGTCGCTGAGTCAGACTTGATTTCTGCAGTCTCGCTCTGGCTCCTAGGAAGTAACTGCTATGCCCTGGGACCATCCAGATCGGGAAGGGTGCCGGCATTTTCCAGGGAGACTTGGGCCAAGGCAGATAGCCCAGAGTGAATATGAATACTGAGACGTATTGTGGGAGCCGCAGGTTGTGCGCTCTCAGCTTGACCTTCAGAGGGGATGAGCCTTAGTCAGCCAGGCGGCTAATCTGTGGCGGAATCTTCACCAGCAGCAGCGTGAGGGTGACCTTCCCTGGTTGGCACTGTTGCTGGAGGAGTTAAAGGCAGTCTGCAGGTAAGACAGGCCGAGGCTCGGCACCTCCTCTCCCAGGGCCTGACCCTCTGCTCCTCTCCCTTCTCAAGACAGTGCCCTCTGTTTAGTTCACGATCCCAGCCCAACTGTGAAGACAGCAGCTTCTCTGGGTCTCCCCTGCTCTCACAGCCAACCAGTAAACCTCGGCGCAGTCCGGGGGATCGCCAGGGAGGCACAGCAGCCCAGGGATGAGGACTGAATCTCACAAAACGAGAAAAGGTCGCCTTGTGACCATGATTTACACGCTGGATTCACATACCACAAAGGAAAAGGAAAACGGGCAGAGCTGGCTTCGGAAGTCGACAGTTGCACGTCAGGTGTGCAGGCCCTGCTTACGGCTCACGGCCACTCACCAAGGGCCGAAACCCTGCGCACCACTCTCTCCTGAGCGTCCGCTCCACTGTCCCAGAGGGCTTAGGACGACCGGAAACAAACGGCAACAACAGACTCGGGCCCACTGGTCAAATGTTTTCTGAGCTATTAGGTTTGGTCTCCTAGTTTCTGATTGGGCTGATAGCCGTGGCCATGGCTCAGGTCTTTCATTATGTCCATGACTGGTCTGAAGCCAGCACAGCATGCAGGCGTGAGGCGGAGGAGTGAGGGTATGCACGCCCGGCGGTCTTTGTGGCACTTACGCTTGTAAGCAGGTGCTTCAGATGGTCGTTTAGAGAAGGACCGACTACGACACTTAACTGCATCAGGGCCTCCAGGCCTCTTCCAAAGACTCCATCATCGGAATGGACCTGTGTGTTTACCGGGGGTGGTAGGAGGCAGTGAAAGGAGTAAAGGACAGGAAGTTAGGAGGACGATGGGTAGCAAGTGGATCAAACGAGTGAACATTTTCCATTGAAACTCAATTTCAAAAATCATTCTTAATGGAAGACAAACACACAAGCAAGCATCACATTTTCAGGCTGCCGGCAGCATTGACTACAGCACACAGACGCCTGGGGATGAGGCTCACTGCTTTCCTACTTACTCAAAGGGCCCCCTAGAGGTGTCCCAAGTACACTGCCACCTGATCCAGAGAAAAAGTGGCCTCATTCTGCAAGCACCCCTCACAGCCAAAGCACAGGGAGCACCGAGAAACACAGGACTAACGAGAGCAGCCTTCAGCACGGGCACCAGTCGGGGCAGCAAAGGCACGGCTTTGTCCAGAGCCCCGGGGACCAGCAGTAGCTCCCTGAAGCCCTCCTTGGACACAAAGGTGTACGGATGCTTAGTCTCTCTCAGGCCCTGCCGAGGAAAGCAGCATCACTTGCTAGTCCTTTCATGGGGCTGATATAAACACACACAACGTGAAACCACAGGAGGAACGTGAACTGTGAAGACGCACTGTCCCCCTCTGTCTTCCAATCGTGGTGTAAACGCGGCCAGCAGTTACAGTTTCAATGAGCCCAACCTCAGGAGGGAAGGCAGCGGGAAGAGACAGAGGAAAGGATACAGTAAAGGAATACTCAGTAGAGAGGGAAGCAGGGAAGAGGAAGGGAGCACGAAGAGCCGGGGAGAGAGAAAGGCAGATAATGTAAAATGCAAAGAGGAAGGCAAAGAAAAAGAAAAAATTCAGTGGGTTTTATATATATATATATATGTGTGTGAATATATACATATGTAAAAGTATGCATGTATATGTGTGTATATATGTGTATGTGTGTGATTTACACTGTCTGACAGGACAGCAACTCATTCATCTAAAATATGTTTATAACCACAGCTTGGCAAATACATAACTATAGGAGTCTCTCACACTGACTACAACTTGTTTAAGTTTCTAAAATACCTTTACATATTTTACCGCATGCCTTTACATATCTTAAAAGTCTTTAAGCACCACGATAATGTATCTAGTCCCCTTTACACCATTTTGAATGGAATATTTCCTTTATATTTCAACATCTTATTATATTTGTCACTTTCAATATTGGAACTTGGAATTAAATGTAAGGAGGAAGGGGATAGTGTAAGTCAGTTATTGTGCCTTTCACTCTACATGCATTACTCAAGTATATACGGTATTCCATGACTAATGCTCAGCTAAGCAGCAGGCAAGGGATCAGAAGACATGTTGCATGAGGTACATCTGCTGCACAAGAACTCTTGAGAGTACTGAAGTGCAGGGTGTTACATTGAGGACTAAGGTGTGCCTGACTCAAGCTCTGGTACTGTCCATTGAATCATATGCATGCGAAAGCTGGACACTAAATAAAACAGCATCGGAGAATAGATACATTTGAATTGCGGTGCTGGAGAAAAATACTGAAAAATCATGGACTGCAAAAAGAAAACCCAATCTGTATTGGAAGAAGCACGGCCAGCGTGTTCTTTTCTTTGTAGGCAAGGGGCAAGGAAGGCAAGATTTTGTCTTACACAGTTTGGACATGTTGTCAAAGAAACACCAGTCCCTGGAGAAGGACATCAAGTTTCGTAAGGTGGAGGAACAGCCAAACAGAGGAAGGTCCTCGAGGAGGTGGACTGACAGAGAAACAGTGGCTGTCTCAATGGGCCCAGCCTAGGGACAATGGTGAGGATGGCCCAGGGCTGGCCTGGCCTGTGCACTGTTGAGTTCTGGTGTGCATGGGATCGCTATGGGTCAGAGCTGACTTGATGGTACCTAACAACAACTGCCAAGATTGACTCAATCACTGACAGTCAAGGTAAAAGGCTATTTGAGCTTCTTAGCAAAGATATAAGAACGCACGGTCAATAGCTTCTTCTAAGAGTTACTGTGAAGTGAAGAAGTAATCAAGGGCTACAATGTCATGCCTAGAAATACCAATATCCAAGCACCCAGGCCGCCCCTCAGCTCCAAGCCCAGCTTTCTCCCCAGAGCTAAGGTGGTATACAGACTGCCTCAGGCCAGCATGACAGGCAACATCTCCACATAAGAACTATAACAAGAACAGACACACATATATATATAATAGCAAACAGTAATCCCACCCTCCTTTTCCATGCTGAAAACTACACTGCCAGGCACACCTGCACCTTAGACAGCTCCTCACCCGCTTGTTTCAGAGATGAAGCTGCTGAAATAGAGAGAAACCTTTGGGTCAGCAGCCAGCTGCTTCACTACTATGCTACCAGAGCTTTCTTCCCTGATACAAATGGTAATGATATCAAGGGAGCTAGCAGAAATTTTTAAATGTATTTGCTTTATAAAAAAATAAGACTCAAATTCACTGTCATCGAGTCAATGCCTGCTCACAGTGACTCTAGGGAGCCAGGCAGTACTGCCTGCCCCTGTGGATTTCTGAGACTGTAACGGTTTACAGGAATAGACTGCCTTTCTCCTGCGGAGCTGCTGCTGGCTTTGAACTTCAATGCTGCAGTTGTCAGCCCAGAGCATCACCACCGCACCAGAGCTCCTCAGACACTATGGGATTCTATCTACCACGTACGAGTAGATCCAAGTGCCAGAGAGGTCGCGACAGAGAGTAGAAGTGGCAATATCAGTTCTC